TTGCATGCCAGCGGCTTCTGTCACAGGTCACCGGAGTCCCTACGTGGCACACATATTGCAGCTCTAAATTTCAGCTCATATTTTGAACCGTTGTTTTTCATATAAAGTAATTCTTTTGATATGAAATTAAAGAGGAAATTTGCAGGCTATCATTTTGTATATTCGCTGTCCCACTTTGAACTTCCTGCAGGAGTTGTAATATATTTGAATTCTTTGAAAAAGTTTCATTATCAACACTTGGTGCACTTGTTACCATACAAATCTACCTCTGCCTAGGGGAATTCTTATGAACTAAATATGTTAGATCGATACTGTGTGCTGTCCTGCATGAAAAGTCTATTCTCTTGAGGCATATTCTGACCAGTGCTGACTCTACATTGGAATTTGTAACTACAAGAAGATGTGGAGAATCTACAACTTTGAGATGTGATGTTGACTCTAAGAAGTGTGTTATGACTGCTAAGTAGCAAACAATAAACAGTTCACTATATGAATGGTACTGCTGTAATCCCCCTTTATCCTGTAAATATGCGTCATGCAGTCTGGTCAGCCAAGGCCAGCCGCAAGGAACAAAGTGGCCAGCTGTGTTGTGTCGTGACCAGTGGAGAATATATTTACTTCAAACTGAATCAGAACAAAGTTTTGTCAGATTCGGAAGTAGACACTGAAAATGGATGTTTGTGCTTTTCTCGATTCTGTGCTAAATGACAGAATCGAGAATAGCACAAACATCCATCAGGAGAATATGCAAAACTGTAAGGGACAAAAAAACTTCTGAATGCAATGATAATATGTAGGAATAACACAAGGAAAAGCTCAATTGTCAATCAGAATTGAGGTAATTGAGGGACTCTCTATGAAATATGCTAATGCCATAAAACACAAAGTACCAGGTTGACATTCGTCAGACAAAACAGTGCCCCATCTAAGAAGAAGAAAATTTATAAGCAAGATTCCACCAACTGTGAAGAAATCAAAACCACAGAAATGGCATGTTGTGTGTCAAAAACTGTGTAATTGTGTGACGCGTGTGACGTGGAGCTCTTGTGTGAAATGTTTTCATGACTAACACACCCAGATGAACTTCTAAGGTAATATGATACTGTAACGTGTTCTGCTACTGAAAACGCCGTTCAGATTGTTAATTGGTTTATTTAACAACCTACAAGTCTTGGCTACAATTAAGTATAACACTGTTATGGGTTTACACGCTTTACAAACCTTACACAATATTGTATTCACTCTATCTTCAGTAGTTTTCACGTATTTATTACATGGGAGCTATACAAGTGTCACTGTATTACACACACCCAATTACTTCTCTTATGAGCCAAGCATCTGCTTCTCACACTATCACTTCTAATCACACGTTCTGGTATTCTTCTTTCTGCTACAACTGAACTCAGCGACTGTTCCAATTCAACTGTCTACGGCGACGACTACATTTCAACTGTCTTCGGCGGCTGCTGCATTTTAACTGTGTCACTCCTGATCACACACTACTAACTAACTGCTGAATAGTGTTTGCTGCTCCTTATTTAGCCTCAGCACGGACAACACAGAAAACAGTTAGTAATAGGTACCACTGTTGCCTGACACTGCGTTTACAGTTTGCCTAGCAGCACTGTCGAGAGTTGTTTACTGCAGTGTAGCAACTGCAGTATCCCTTGGTAACAACACAGTCACTCTTTTGCCACGTCACCGCGGGGGAGGGGGTGTTTTACCAAGCGTTGCGTGGTAATGGAAGGGGTGGGGGTATGTGACGTCACACTGCTCCCTTCTAAAGGTTGTTTGTCCCGAATAGCCTAACCGTACATCCCTGTTCCTTTTTCTTCCCATTGCTGTGCTTGCTGTGTCTCCTGTTCTTTCAGCTACTCCTCTTGCAGCAACTATTCTCCGTTTTTACATCCTGGTGTCATTCCTATTATTCCTAATTTTTATAGGCTTACTGTGCCAAAAAATAATTTTAAAGCAATGTGGATCAATACATCGATTCAATATACGTTTCTGAGCATAGTGTGAAAATTAGAAAAACAAAACTCCAGTTTTTCCCAATTTATTACACTTTAAGTGAAATGTTGCACTCTCTGGTTTAAATATCCTCCAGCATAGGAGTTGAGTAGGAATTTAAATGCTCACTGGCAGTGAAATATGTATATAAAATTTTTTCTCGTTGCTTTGTTAACAGCTCACTAGAGGTAAAAGGTAAAGGTATCCCTGTGCTTAATTAATTAATTAGTTAAGCACTACACCATGAAGACATGGGGGAGTGGATGTATAGACCCACGTTTTCTTGACCTTGGCACTAGTTGGAGGTGAGTGGTCAGCTTCCCCCCTCAGCCACTTTACCTCCTGAGGAAGAACCCACGGTATCCACTGGATAGGAGGTTGGGTGAATCCCAGAACCAGTCTGGACAACATGGAAAAGTGAAGAATCTTTCCCCCACTGGGACTCAAACTCCTACCCCACAGCTGTCCAGCCCATAGCCAGCTGCTCTATCAACTGTGATATCCCAGCTCCCCACTCACTAGACATTACTTTTCTGAATAGCGCTCATGTTATGACTGGTTTTCCACTTCCACCTGGTGGCAGAGGAATGATGCATATGAGTCAACATTTACATTTCGAAGGTTACCATCTTCTGGGATGTGACACTGTAAGGTCTGGTTGAAGTTTACAAGTGTTTCAAAGGAATGTGTTGCTTCTATCTGCAGTATAGAAGAGTAGCCTTGAAAAACTGAGGTACCAGACCAATGGCATCGATTCCAGAAAACATCACCACCACCACCATGGAAATTTCAAATCTCAGCTATTTCCATTTCATTTGGCTTCCCATACTATGACTCTCAGGTCTCCCCTCACCTTAGTCTTATCTCACACCCTGTTTAAATTTCAGTTTCTCTCCACAGCATTTTATGGTCATAGTAATTAATTGTCATGTCACTCTGGAGGTGAGAAGTCATCCATGAACAGCTTTGTCAGTTTTGTCACGGTTATACAAGTAGCAGTCACACATTCCTGTCTTCCCCTAAACTCAGTCATGTCTTGTGTATATGTCCCATAGAGTCTCCCAGCTTGGAGAACTTCATCCCATGCTCTTTGTGTTTCTTTGGTGTATACTGTTTGAAGATTACTCCTACCTTTGAACAGCACATTGATTTTATCAACTACTAAATGTTCAGTTGGAGAGTGATATTTAGCAAATGCATCATTGAGCTCATTATATGTGGTTCTCATCTTCTATAATTGAACATATTTCCATTTGTCTCGCCAGGTTCATTTTTGTCATCACTAAAGCGTAGACATGTGGATATATGAAAGAATCTACCTCATTTCATTGTGCTTTTTTAAAAGACCATGAACATTTGTCTAGTATGGCCACTAATCTTTCAGGATGTCCCTCTGTTTGTGCTCCATCTGCACAGTAATAGATGAAAAGAAATACATTTCCTGTCTAGTAACACCAGGCATTGGTGAAGTCCTACATGAAATGTGTCCAAGTTTTGCTGTTTGTCTCTTCCACCAGCAAATGCATAATTTCAAGGAAGCAATAATGAAAACACCATGTATAGAATCCTTAATAATATGGGGTACCTCATTTTAGCTCAACCCATTCAGACCCCTCTAATCCTATGGATAACATGTGCAGAAGGTCAGTCCATTGTGTAGAGTTTATCTGGATAATGTCTACTTTTTTGTCACTGTCAGTATATGTGACACTTAGAGCAGAGGAAATATCTTTGTCTTCTGATAATTGATCATAAACATTTGTGTCCAGAATCAGTTCTTATGCTATATCATGCACACAGAAGAAAATAAAATGCATCACACATTTCTTAGTTTAAATCAGGGACTTATGGTCTTAGCAAATGTTGTGCCCTGCCCATTCAATAAATAAAAAAAAAAAAAAGATATGTGTAGTGATAGCCATACATTGGATGTGACTCAGGGTATGAAACTGAATTAGTAAGTGGAAAGTGGATGTCATGCCATGAAATTACATACACATACACATATAAATTCATTGGTTCTGATAAGATTAATATTATCAGAAACTGTTTCTGATAACATCTGACAAAGGCAACATTTGTCAAAAGAAGTGTTTATGTAGCCTTATTTCCTTCTTGGAACACAGGTGGGCTTTGACACAGCAAGTGATAAAATTTTCTGATTAAAAAGCAGATTTGTCTGTCAAAACATTCTCCCAATTTGGCTCCATGCAACTTCTTTCTATTCCTAGCTGCAAAACCACTGCTGAAATGTATGCATTTTTGGTCAATGGAGAAGGTCCAGCAACATGCATCACATATGTGAAAAGGTACGTCAGAAGGCAACTTCTGGAAATGCTTAAAATGTAGCAGAAAATAGTAGTTTTATATATAGCTGCCAAAAGAAGCACTTTGAATGGGACAGCAGCAATTCATTGTCTTATATACAGAATCATTCCTGAAACTGTTAAGCCGCACTGCATGCTGTGCTGTGGTAACAGTGCAGCTGGTCACAGCTTGTAGAGTGTCATGCGGTTTTGTTTTATAACAGAATAAAAGCCCTTGACAGGTGTGATACATTTCAACCATATCAACAGCATCATGAAAATAAAAAACATGACTCCTCCCACCATTGCAGCAGTAATACCAAGAATAAACCACGATGAAGATATATTGTGCTGCTTGCCAGAAACTATGTGTGAAGTGGTCCTGTTCCTTAGACCTGTTGTATGTTGTTGGCTGCTCACTGTAGTAGTTCCAGTTACTGGTAGATCTGTAGCTTCACCAGAGAATTCAGTTGTTGAATTCTCTATTATTCCAGTTGATTTTTCCAGCTACCAGAATAATAGCCCATGTTAAATAAATCCATCATTGTTTTATAATATCATTGTCAAAACACAATTGTATTTGGTTACGATTTTCCATTTCTGTAATGACTGCTATCAAATGTATAGAAATTTAGACACTGAGCTCCCTCTGCACTAAAACCCTGATTACCTGTTCTAAACTGAACCAAAGGGTGATCAGAGAACCAAACAGTTAGATAATATGAATAACATTGCAAACATGGATAAAGTATCTACACAGCTTGGTTCACAAGCCTATTATGAAACAGTAGCATGTAAATAATATTTAGTTGGTAATAACAATATCAGAAAGAAATTTGGAACTAAACTTAAATGAAAAAGTTATACACACCATGTAAAATCTTAAAATTTGTTATTTAAAGAAGCATTATGGGGGCTGAAGTCAAGTCACATAACACAAATATCAGATAATTGAGACTCTACTGTACTTCAGAAATGAGGGTGCATCATTGTCAGTGACAGACCATTATGTCATCATTAGAAAGTTACTAAGTTCTGTTTTCAACTAATTTTTGGTATTCGTATGTTGGTGGGAAACTCAGACACACGTTCCTTCTGTAAGGTTGTCTACATAAGTTGTCATGTGCTCTTCATCATAAAATACTCATAGATGGACTGTACTAGAAGCTACAGCACAAGACATTATGTCTCTACCTATTACTGTATTGCAGTGTAGTGATTAATTCTTATGTTACTCTTGTTTTTTTTAAGTGTACGTTAAGTCTGAATCTCTTGGTACTTAGGCCACAAATGGTTCATTGTAATAGGGCTGGATGATAGATGAGAGAAATGGAGCATCTAATGGGGTGAGAATTGGCAGGGGAAATTAAAGTAATTTGAGGAAAGCACTCACTGGCTTGTCTCCAGTGACCCAGGTTCGGTACCACTAGAGTTCATGAGGGATGAAGTGGCATTGCAGGGCCTCTTAGGTTATGTAATGATGCCTTTTTGCTGCTTAGGTTACAAACTGTTGAGTTTTGTTGCAGGGGTTAACACTTCCCCTTTGTGTTCATGAGATCCCTGACCCAAAATATTTGGTATCCTGATTGAGGATTTATGTGATTTTTCTCAGTTCCTGCAGACCACAGTTGCATTCTTTACTATTGCTAGTAGCAGCTGCCCATCATTCTCATTTCAGTGCTACTGGTATGTGAAAGAACATCGTCATGTAAACCAAAAACCCATCAGTTTTGTTGAAATTAAGGAAAAAATAAAGTCACATGTGAGATTTGGAATAATCCATCTTCTCAACATCTTTCCAAAACAACTGACTGAATGATTGACTGACCATCCAACCAATCAACTTACATTGGAACCTGAAGATTCAGTAATGCCTAAAGAAAAGGCTGTTATTGGATCGAACCAACAGTCAAACTGGAGTGTCATACATAAGAGAAGTAAAAGAATCCTGTTTTCTTAATTACCATTCCATGAAGTTGTGTGAGTGGTGTAGAGATAAATCTCACACATTCTTAAATAAGCTGGAGGCGAGAATGCTTTACTTCTGAGGAAAAAGTCCCTAATATCAAAGAGGTAGAAAGCATGGTGGAACCCAGAGTTGTTATGGATAGATGTAAGGAAGGATACACTTCCTCTCTGAATCTTCACCCCCTTAGTGTACCCACCAAGCTGTTGTGAAGAAGAAGAAGAAGAAGAAGAAGGATAAACAATCGTTAAACAGTTGGTACACTAGTAATCAGTCACTAGGCTGACTGGTGTGAAAAATTGCTGAACTGTTTTATATATATATATATATATAGTGTCATACCAGTAATTTTGCCAACTTCAGGGCTTCTTGCAGGGCTCCAAACAGGCCCTGAACACCATCATGGTCAGACACGTAGAAGAACAGGCCCCCAGTTGCACTTGCCAGCTGCTGGAGGTCATCTAGCGGTGCTGCCTCTCTGTGAGGAACAAATAGTTAGCACTTACGAATGTAACTGTGTCCTAATAATAGGCATGATGAGGTCTTTTTTTATTGTGGTTTTTTGGGTTAAGACACTGAAATTTGGTAGGTAGTTATCAAGATTTGGAGAAATCTGCTGCCTCTGTCTTTAGGGTATATGGAGGCAGCAGGTTTCTCCAAAATGTTGCTAACCACCAACCAAACTACATGGTATTATAACCCACAAGAACACAATCTTAATTTTGACCACTGAAACCTCAGATTTTTTTTAAACCTTTTTAGGCTGTTTCATGACCCTGCAGAGCACCTATTAAATTGATATGTCACCTATCTGTTTGTGCACGTGAAACAACTCGAGAACCACTGAACAGATTTTCAAAAAGCTTCATATTGGGTGCCTTTCATAAATTTGTGGACACATTACAATTTGGGTTAAAATTGGACAAATAAAAACACTTTACATGAAGACCTTCACATGTTTCTGCATGTATTTCAAGTGTAACTCAGAAGTACAGCAATACCTCGCATAGTCTGGATTCACTATAGTCCAGATTGAAAATTTCAAAACAAACTAAATTTTAATTGATCAAAATAAAAAAGAAGTTATAAAAAATTAGTACACAAAATTATTTTTAATACATAAATCGGGTTTTTCCCTTTATACAGTCAAGTCTCTTTTTGTGTGGTTTATTTTTATGTGGTTTTAAAGTTATGCAATACTATACCTTTTTTAAATTTTTTCTGGGGTTCCCCATAATATATGTATGTACCTATGCTCAGGTCATTTGTTCTTGAGCTCTGACAGCTGTCGCTGGAGGAGGTGGGGAGAGCACTACTTCAACGGACTTTTGAAAGAGCTACAACATCAGAAACATCATTGAAAATATAGGCGAGGCATGACATGAATTAACGGCAAGCAATATGAGGGCAGTATGGAAACATATCATACCACATTGTGCAAATGATTTAATTGGTTTTGAAACTCATTTTGCTGAAGTCAGTAATAACATAGTGGAAATTGGACAGCAGCTTGGTTTCAATGAGTTAGATTCCGTCAACGTAGTTGAGTGCATCACATCAAACACTAATGAACTAGATCAGCGATGGCGAACTGGCGGCCCGCGGGCCGGATACGGCCCACAACTTGATTTACTCCGGCCCCCCGCCAAGTCTCAGGTTTATTTTCAAAAATCTTAACTTCACAGCTGTATTGGCATAGAATTCAGTTTTTAATAGGACGTTTCATTAGCTTACAGCATTTTTCAATTGACTGTATACGTTCTTACCGAGTTGGACAGTTCAAACTGTTTTCTAATAACTGTGTTCATGTCATGGAAATTCCAAGTCCCCCAACCCAACTTCTGTAGGGAGATGACACTGAAGGGAAGACCGTAGTGGTGAAGGATTTATGACACCTTCAAAATAATAACCATTCCCAGCTTGCTCGCGGGGATGGGATGTTTACCGTTTCTCTCGGCATCCTGGCCTTTGTTAAGTGCCAGTTTTAGCAGAAATGTCTCCCAGTTAGTGCGATTTTAGAAAGTGAAGTGTGATTACGGAGTGTGAGTGTAGAACTGTTTTTCAATTAAAATTGTGTTTGAAGTTATTGTAAGTGATACAGCATGTCAAATAGTAAATTGAGAAAAGTTGATAGCGAAAATAGGGCGTTCAAATCTGAGTGGGAACATGACTATTTTTTTATATTAAATAAAGACCACAAGCCACAGTGTTTAGTATGTTTTCAAGTGCTAGCAGTTTTAAAGGAGTACAACCTAAAGAGGCATTACATGACAAATCATAAACAGAAGTTCGGAAAACACTCTTGTGAATCAAGGAAAGTAGTCTGCGATCAGTTAAAGAAAAAACTTTTCCAGCAGAAATCTCTTTTTACCAATGAAACAAAACAACAAGAAGAAGCTTTGCTGGCTTCTTATTTCGTGACATATGAATTAATGAAAGCTAAAAAAGCGTTAAGTGATGGTGAATTAATTAAGAACTGTGCGATAAAGATGGCAGAAGCTTTCAATGAAAATAAGGTAGGAAACAAATTTCAAACAGTGCCCCTTTCAAAACAGACTGTTACTAGGAGGCTGGAAGATATTAGCAACCAGATATCTAATAATGTGAAAGACATTATCGCTAATTGTTCCTATTTCTCAATTGCTCTCGACGAAAGCACAGATGTTTCGGATACTAATCAGTTGCTGATATTTGTTCGTGCAATTAAGGAAGATTTTACAATTTTCGAAGAGTTGTTAAAAGTGTGCTCTTTACACAGCACAACTAGAGGTGTCGATATTTTTAACGCTGTTAAGAGTGCAGTGGAGGAATTCGGTGGTTTTGAAAAATTGTCCTCCATAGTAACAGATGGCGCTAAATCAATGACAGGGACAATAAGCGGTTTTGTTGGATTTTTAAGACAGAATCAAATTACTGTACCTACCTTGCATTGTATTATACATCAGGAGGCTCTATGTGCCAAATCAATTAAACTGTCTACCACCATGGCTACTGTCACAAAAATTACTAATTTGATCAGAGGAGGAAATCGATCACTCACTCACAGAAAATTTCTGACCCTCTTGGAAGAAATGGATTCTGCTTACGGGGACCTGCTTCTGCACACTGAAGTAAGATGGTTAAGCCGTGGGAAATGTCTGGTACGGTTCTTTGAACTCCGTCATGAAATAGCAACATTCCTAAGAGAAGAGGTTACGAATTCTGCTGAACTGCAGAATGATCTCGAAGACGTCGAATTCTTGAGAAACTTGGCCTTTCTCACCGATATCACTCAACACTTGAATGTCCTGAATCTGCAATTGCAAGGCAAGAAGCAGACAATATGTCAGATGGTTGGCTTTGTTGACAGTTTCCGTAAAAAGCTACATTTATTTAAGTCTGCATTGGACAAAAATAACCTTCTACATTTCCCTTGCTGTCGGAAACTCTCAGAAGAAGAAGAATGCTTGGAGTTTAGGGACTACACTGAAATTATTGAAGATTTGTCTTCAGAGTTCGACCGACGATTTAACGATTTTGAAAGCTTTCGACCTGATATTTCTTTATTCAGTAATCCTATACATTGTGATATAGAATCTCAGCCAGGTCATCTGCAATTAGAGCTTTGTGAACTTCAATGTGACCCATCCTTAAACACATCTCAGGTTACTGGAATTGACTTTTGGAAACTGCTTTCACCAGAACGTTACCCACTGTTACGAAATTGGGCTCTCAAACTTTGCTCTGTTTTTGCAAGTACTTACATATGCGAGACAGCGTTTTCATCGCTGAAGCATGTAAAGTCTAAGAACGGGAACAGACTTTCAGATGTCGTGTTATCACATATTCTTCGAGTGGCAACCTCACAATTAGAAGTGGATTTTATATCATTGGTTTCCAGTTTTATGAAACCACAGTGCTCTCATTAAAACAGTGTGTATATGGGGATTTAGGTATAATCATTAGACCATAAAAACTATGATTGAAAGCCTTTTGTGCTCATCCCTGCTGAAAGAGGAATTTGTGCTGTTTTATGGTAAGTAATTGCAAATTTCAAGGCATTTTATTTTTCTTTCTTAAATTAGAATTGCATTTTTCCCCGGCATATATAAAACTAAACATAAGGCATGATCTGGCCAGTGTTTCTTTAAGAAAAAAATGCTCTGGGGGTAGAAGTGATAGAAGGCAATAAAATCGATTGGTGAAATTTTCAATATCGGCTTAATATTATTGGTGCAACGTAAAATTTAAATACATAGGTTTAAATGCACTTGTTTTTACACGGGTTATGACTGATTCAGTTTGGGGGGCAATACTCCCCGACCACTCTTCTGAAAGAAACACTGTATCTGGCCCCTGATGGTGTTCTATAAACTAAATTTGGCCCTCGAGATGTATTAGGTTGGCCAACGCTGAACTAGATAATGAAACACTTATTAACATAGATGAAGAACGGGAGGATGACTTAGACAATGACGACCACGATGACTGTGTTGAAGTGCCTGCACAAGATTTAACAGCTGAACAACTATAAAAAATTATTGGAATGGTTGAAACATTGTCAGAGCATATTATGGAAATTGATCCCAATATTGAACATAGCCTTACAGTTCGCTGAACGATAAACAATGCAATTCGTTGCTAGAAAGAAGTGTGTGTGAAGAGAAAAGGCCAAAGAAGAAAAAATGCGAAAAACATGAATTTTTTAAAATTATTTCTAATAAAGACATTTGAATTTATTAGTCGCGTTTTATTTATTGAAAAGCTGATAATTCTTTTTTGAACCAATTATCGTTTTTTGTATGTATTTAGTTCCTCAAATAGTCCTTATTTTTTGAACCAATTATCGTTTTTATATGTATTTAGTTGCTCGATTAGTCCGGTTTCAAACAGTCCGGGATATTGGTGGAACCAATTACCCAGACTCTGCAAGGTATTGCTATATTTATTGGAATGAAGAATTTTTCAAATAAATGTTGTAGATGAAGGGCACATTTTATGTCATAAACACTTGTCTGTACATCTTAGTGTGTTTGAGATAAACAAAAGAGGGAATGTTTATAGATTTCCTATCTTGTGGATTCACTACTTGAACATTGATATTCTGAAGTGAAGATTATCAAACAATCAACAGTAGTTTTCTGAACACTTACAAAGTCTTCTTGATTCTTGATAACAGTTAAACAAAGCTTCCCTTTACTTGAATTCATAGATCAACATGTATATAAACATGAATAGTAGAGTGAATTTACCGACTACACAACACATTTTTATTATCACATTATCACTACATGTTTCGACCTTAAGAGGTCATATTCAGGTGTATGAACACGGCTGTATAATTACATGAGGTCACATTTACTTTTCACACATTCGACCTTGTATCTTTTCCAGACTTACGCCCACTTATATATCAAGTTCTTTTTACAAAACACAGGTTAAAATTATTATTATTCTAATTTACTTATTAAAAGTTAAATGTTCGTGAATCGAGGTTCAATTCATGTCACTGGTTACACTTTCACTTGTTTTTCAGTCTCATTTTTACTTACGCTCACTACTGTATCTAGTTCTTTTTAAACTAGTTTAATTATTATTATTGTTAAAAATTCATTAATTGAAGTTCAACTTATGTTATTAGTTACGCTTTCACTTGTTTGTGAAGTCTCACTGTTCTTCCGCGTTCCTTGATGTTGCTGGATCTGTTATGATCATAACTAATAACATAAGTTGAACTTGTGTAGTCGGTAAATTCACTCTACTATTGATTAAACACACAACAGGATGCAAGAAATTATTAAAATTATATATAAACATATTTAATTAAAACTTCAGTGACTCACCTGCCAGAGTCTTTTACTCTCAATCAAATTAAGTCAGTCTGCATGAAAATAAAAGCTTCTGCTATTCCAGCAAAATATCACAATTAAAGAAAAAGGAAACAGAAGAAATACTTATGCTTTTTAGTGTATTGTTTTATTTCAGTATGACTTCCAAGCATATATTAACCTTTAACGATCGAAGTGCCCTGATCGTGCCAGTGATGAGTATGGTCGTTGTGGCCAAAGTACCCCGTTTTGGCCAGTCGGGCATTTAAACTCAGTTAGGGGAAGCACGCGCACACGCCGCTAGTAGAAGCACATGCACAGTCCTAAATATTTATTTTTCAATGTAATGATTAACAGACAGTCTTGAGTAAAACCATAATAGAGGAATTAAAATGATACCTAAGTGAACAACAGCAAAAAAAAAAAAAGAATATACATATGAGTTATGCCCAAACTCATCCACGAGCCAGTACTTTTATTGCAGATTAATGTGTTAAAAATATATAGTAAAATTCGATGTATATACTTTTTTGTTGTTATCTGCTTGATGTATATATAGGCTGAAATGAAACTACAGTATTCGATTTCACTATGAATGCACAGAAAACAGATCACACTCTGTATCTCAGCCACGATGCAACTGTCTCTTCACGACCCTAGAAAGGGCAATAATCTCTTGCAGCTATTACAGAAGGTCTTAGCACTGAAGAAGGGGCCCCTCTAGCTTTCTCTTGAATAGTCATTCTTTCAATCTTCTATCAAAAGATTCGAAAATCCGAAGAGTGTAAGCAGTGCTAGCAGAAGACCAAATGATTTTATTGCTTCCATCTGTTTTATGACACCAGGGACTGCTAAAATTTGTCAAGTGTTACAAGCAGGACTGATTTTATAATGCAGAACAACTCTGTGAAGGACTTAGGAAACCATTTTTGCAGTACACATCAAAATTAAAAGGAAAAATTGAAAATAAAGTATAACTCTTTGTATAAAAGTTTTCAAATCATCTGTTATAATATGCGACACTATGTTCTTTGCTGATACAAACAAAGTTAATGCCATCGATTTATCATAAAAATTGAGTTAGATACAGCATTTTTAAACAGTGCTTAAAATTGTTTAAGCGCCATAACAGGAATGGACGTTTAAATGCAGAGTAGCAACAGGTATTGAAACGTGCACCAGCAATGGGCATTTAAATAAACTCCGACCAGCTCAAGCTTACCATCATTTCAGAAGTCCATCTTTTAAAGGTTAAACATGTTATGCAGGGAGATCGAAAAGTCGTGCACATCAAACTAAAAGTTATTATAAATTGTATTGCAGTTAATATAATTATATCTCCTACCATTAGCTGGCACTGTAGGAGTACTAATGAATAGAAACGTTATCTGTCATGTATCGGTCATACGACGTCTGCAGTATAGCTTTGTTTATTGTGTGACAGACATGTCATTTTCCAAAGAACAACGAGTTTTCATGGAATTGAAGAGTTTGATCGGGTTTTATTCACTGACGAAGCGTGGTTTCACCTTAGTGGCTACGTGAACATTCAAAACAATAGGATTTGGTCATCTGAAAATCCACATATGTTACATGAAAAGCCCTAGCACTGTCAGAAAATTAGGATGTGGTGTGCTGCATCACGTCGTCGAATAGTGGGCCCAATTTTCTTTGAACAGTCCAGTGTACCAAGACGACATTACACAGTTTATTGTGCTTCTTGAAGTTGATGAACATGGGTGTTGGTTGCAGCAAGATGGTGCCACATGTCACACATCTAATGAAACCATGCAGTTCTTGCGCGAGTTTTTCGGTGACCATCTCATTTCGAAAGGATTGTGGCCCCCGCATTCGCCCTATTTGTCACCCGCAGATTTTTTCCTTTGGGGGTACCTCAAAGGAATTGTCTGTAAAACATTCCGCATACACTGGATGACCTCAAGAGGAACATTACAACGGTGATTAACAGCATCAGTTTACAGGTGCTCCACAAAGTAGCCTCAAACATGGTAAAAAGAGCTTGCGCATGCTTTGCTGAACCGGGAAGCCATTTCAAGCATATGTTGTGAAGACATGATTTGATTTTGCTTCCATTTTGAATATTTATCAGTGAATGGCAAATAGTTGGATGCAGATTTGAATCATAGTCATCATGGTCTTAATTATTCAGTTTATCTAAAGTAAGTTTACTCTTGAGTCACAGAATATGACTTCCCTTTTTCACATATACAGTTTCTTCTCTTATAAGGAATTTCAGTAGTATGGATACTGTATGCTTTGGGGGCACACAGTAACATAGTTGGTTGAGGCACTGTGCTACAAGCTGGAAGGTCGTGAGTTCGATTCCCAGTGAGGGCATTGGATTTTTCAATTGACTTAAACCTTCCAGCTCCACTATGGCCCTGGGGTCAATTCAGTCTCTAACAGAAACGAGTTCCCTGGAATCTTCCTGGGTGTAACAGGCGCCTAGCATATAAGGCTGACAACTTCACTGCCATCTGTGAGCCAACTGTCTAGTAAAAGTGTGGCATCCTGGACCTCTCACAACCCTATGGGCCTCCAGGGTCTCTTACTGAGATCGCTTCACCTTTTACTGTCTGCTTTTATGGTAGTATTTCTACTTTACCTTCTGACAAATTGATACTAAAGTATTATCCTGCAAAGCACAATGTTCTTACATTATTCAGAGTATAAATGAGTATTGACAAAGACATAAATGCATACCCAAAGCCAACTGCAACAACCTTTGTCCCAGACTCTGTAACTTCAGCTTGGATGTTGCTAATGAACTGGCCAGGCTCAGTGTTCTGTCCATCTGTCACCAACACCATGATGCCATTCCTCTTCCCCAGCACCTGATAACACAGAAACAGTTGAGCAATAATCGAGGTGTTTTGAAATATGTCCTAACAAATAGGACACCTCACCTGAAGGGCTAGTCGCACTCCACACCCAATGCAGGTCTCGCCTTGACCGCTGGTAGGGATACTTCGCACTAGTCGCTCTCGTGATGTGGCATCAACCAGAGTCATTTCACTCAGCAGTTCTTCCTTTGTGCTGCAACATTTTATAGTGGTATATATATAAAATAACATGCTGATTTATGTCCAGTTTCAGATATCTGCTATTATTGTAAAACCCTAACGATTGTCATCATTGTAACCTTTTCTGAAGCATTTCAATCCAGCTCATATATTCACAGCCCACCAGTACATCTCTGAAATCAGTTTTATTATTAGCATCCCATGCAGATCCCTCGAGTGGCCTCTTCCGTTAAGGTGACTAACTTAGTTACATCTGTTGGAGCTGAAATTTCTTAATACACAATCCAGCTCGGTGGGAGCATGCAACAGTATTGACTAATTTCCATTTGTTTTGCATTTATATCACCATCATTTCATTGCTATGTTGGTACTTCATGCTATATAGCTATGTAATTTCATAGGTAAGTCTGAAGAATAGATCAAGCATTGACATAGAAACTGCAGTTCTGTTCATGAAGATCATCTGTTTGCTGTCAACATGTTCTAATGCTCTTTAGTTTGGATTTTATGTAATAAATAAAAACTAAATGTCACAGTCAAGTGGGTAGAACTTCTGCTTTGTGACAGTCTGAGGTTCAAATTCCAGCCTGAAGATATGTTGTCATGACTTAGGTTTTTGGCACCCTTTACTACAGATATGAAGCTAATGTTGCAAAGCCAATTACACCACATAAAATAAATCATGAATACTCTTTTTCTTGTATTTTGTTACCATATTAAAAATTGTTTAAAGTAAAACTTGCTGGTTCTAGTGATATATATATGTGTATATATATTGCACTTTACAGCCTACTTTGCTATCTTAATGAATAAAATTATACTTTTGAATCACCTGAGAGGGTCTCCCAAAACTTAATATGAACATTGTGCCATTAGCCATCACAACATGTTCTTTAAGATTTCCTATCAACAGTAATAAAATTACAGATATATGAACTTATAATGGACTGAGGTTGGCACCAATTAGTATATGATCTTGAAATATAGATCTCCAAAAAATATGGAACTTTTATTAAAAGGGATTTTTTATAAGGTAAGGTAACAATATCTATGTTAGGTGGGTCCCTTGTGACCATGGCATGGCACGTCCTCAGGTTGCGGATTGAGGAGATACCCTCCAGTTTTGGAGGGAAGCTCCGAATATATTGAATAAGCAGTCGCGGACAGCCGACAAGGGGTGACCCTCCAGCTTGGGGACTGGGCGTGGGGCTAACAACTCACCGTAAAAAATAAGTATGTTACGAAAACGAACACAAAGCCTCGGATCTGGGCGGATTCCTTGGATAAACGACCTAAGCTAAAGAAAATGGATATGAAATTTGACACTTAAAATGTTCGAAGTTTGTATAGGGCAGGTTTGCTCAGGGCAGTGGAAGAAGAAATCTTAAAATATAAGTTAGATTTAGCGGGAGTATAGGAGGTCAGATGGGATGGAGGTGGCATCACACCAGCAGGAGACTCTACATTTTTCTATTTAAAGGGGAATGAAAATCATGAATTAGGTTCAGGTTTTTTCATAAATAAGAGAATCATATCAGCAGTTAAAGAGGGTAAAGTTCATTAGTGATAGGATATCATATATAATATTAAATGGTCGCTGGTGTGATATCATTGTTATGAATGTTCACGCCCCAACAGAAGATAAAATTGAAGACATAAAGGATACATTCCATGAAGAACTAAAACATGCCCTAAGTACCCTATGAAAATTTTGTTAGGACATTTCAATGCCAAATTAAGGAGGGAAGACATTTTCAAATCAATGATTTGGAATGAGAGTTTGCATGAAATTAGTAATGATAATGGCGTTAGAGTAGTAAACTTTGCCACATCAAAAAATCTTACTGTCAAAAGTACAATGTTCCCACATTGTAACATCCATAAATTTACTTGGATATCTCCTGATGGGAAGATACATAATCAAATAGACCATATTTTGATAGACAGGAGACTGCACTCAAGTATACTTGATGTCCGATCATTCAGGGCAGCAGATTGTGATACTGACCACTACCTGATGGTGGCAAAGGTTAAGGAAAGACTGGCAGTGAGCAAACAGACAACAAACACACAGAGTTCATATGGAGAAGTTCAATCTCAATAAATTAAATGAGGTAGAAGGTAAAGAGCAGTATTGTGTTGATGTCTCAAATAGGTTTGCGGCTTTGAAAAAATTGGAAACTGAGGTGGATGTTAATAAAGCTTGGGAAACTATTAAAGAGAATATAAAAATGTCTGCCAAAGAGAGTCTTGGTTATTATGAAGTGAAGAAGCATAAGCCATGGTTCGATGTAGGATGCTCAAAATTATTAGATCAAAGAAAGCAGGCCAAATTGCAATGGTTACAGGATCTAAGTGAGTTAACTGGGGACAATCTGAACAATATAAGACGTGAAACCAGCTGGCATTTCACGAACAAAAAGAGGAAATATCTGAAAGGCAAAATTGATGAGCTTGCAATAAACAGTAAAAACAAGAACATTAAAGTCCTGTGTAAAGGAATAAATGACTTAAGAGGGGTTACCAGCCTAGCAGTAACTTAGTGAAGGAAGAGAATGGTGATCTGCTTGCAGATTCCCACAACATTTTGAATAGGTGGAGGAACTACTTCTCTCAGTTATTGAATGTACATAGGTTCAATGATGTTAGGAAGACAGAAATCCATACAGCTGAGCCGTTAGTACCTGATCCTAGCCCTTTGAAGTTGAAAGTTTTATTGCAAAATTGAAACGGTATAAATCGCCAGGTAGTGATCAAATTCCGGCAGAACTTATTCAAGCAGGAGGCGAAATATTACATTCTAAGATTCACAATCTAATTACTTCTATTTGGCATAAGGAAAAATTGCCTGATCACTGGAAGGAGTCTATTGTTGTACCAATTCACAAGAAGGGTGATAAAACTGACTGTAGTAATTATTGGGGGATATCACTGCTATCAACTTCATACAAAATTTTATCCAATATTCTTCTCTCAAGGTAAAGTCCTGTACATCAGCTATTCATAGACTTCAAGAAAACCTATGATTCGGTTAGGAGGGAAGTATTGTACAATATTCTAATAGAGTTTGGAATACCCATGAAACTAGTTAGGTTAATTAAAATGTGTTTAAACGAAATGTATAGTAAAGTACATGTAGGTAAACATTTGTCTGATAAATTACCTATCCAGAATGGTGTAAAAGAAGGAGATGCTTTATCACCACTCCTTTTCAACTTTGCTTTAGAATATGCCATCGGTCCTGGGAAACCAGGTGGGACTGAAACTAAATGGGACACATCAGCTGATGGCCTATGCCGATGATGTGACTCTGCTGGGTGATAATGTAGATACCATAAAGAGAAACACGCATACTTTAATTGACGGAAGTAAAGAGGTTGGTCTAGAAGTAAACGCTGAGAAAACTAAGTATATGTTGCTGTCTCGTCACCAAAATGCAGAGCAAAATCATGATATAAAAATAGGAAACAGATGTTTTGAAAATGTGGCACAATTCAGATATTTGGGAACAACGATAACAGATTGAAACCTGATTAGGAGGAAATTAAGAGGAGATTGATCTCGAGTAATGCTTGCTACCATTCAGTTCAGAACCTTTTGTCTTCTCGTCTGCTGTCCAACAGCATAATAATTAGAGTATACAACAATATAATTTTGTCTGTGGTTCTGTATGGGTGTGAAACTTGGTCTCTGACATTAAGGGAGGAACATAGACTGAGAATGTTGGAAAACAGGATGTTGAGGGGAATATTTGGACCAAAGAGAGATGAAGTGACAGGAGGGTGGAGAAAACTGCATAATGAGGAGCTTCATGACTCGTACTCTTCTCCAAGTATAATTAGAATGATCAAGTCAAGGAGAATGAGGTGGGCAGGTCATGTAGCACGAATGGAAGAGACGAGGAATGCGTATAGGATATTGGTGGGAAAGCCAGAAGGAAGAAGACCCCTGGGAAGACCAAGGCATAGGTGGGTGGACAATGTTAAAATGGATCTTATAGAGACAGGATTGGATGGTATTGATTGGATTGATCTGGCTCAGGATAGGAACCAATGGAGGGCTCTTGTGAACACGGTAATGAACCTTCGGGTTCCATAAAATGCTGGGAAATTCTTGAGTAGCTGCACCATTGGCAGCTCCTCCGGAAGGGCTCAGCTCCATGAGTAAGTAAGTAAGTAAAGTAACAATGTGGTGGTTATGCAAAAATTTTCTTTAGCTCTCATTTTCATTACTGACTATGAGCTATTGCAGCTAGCTTTGTAAAATTTGTTATGGAGCTGAATCATAAACATACCTACACAGTACATATGAAATGGTATGGTAATACCATGGTAATAAATGGGGACTTTGCAACTTTTCACGTTATATACAACAAATTTAACATAGCCAGAATCTTTATTTATATAACAAGTTGTTCATAAAATGAAATCACAATAATAATAGTAATAGATTGTAGAATTATACATCTGTGCAGTAGAAAAGTAGGCATTGTAAGTGTTTTTTGTGAGCCACAAAAGGAAACAATTCAGGTTGAACATCTTGCAAAGTAAGGGTTATATTGGGTAAGTGTAGAATTATAATTTGTCCAGCTACCCTTAGTGTAAACATTAGTATCAGATTTCATTAGAGTATGATGACGGTTTAGCAGTATTAAACATATAGGTGAATGGGGAGACTGGCATAGTCTCCCTGTTGTGTATTAATTTAAACTTTGTGCAAAATATATAAAATGACATGATTTTACAGATTGCAGGAGGAAATGCCTGCATCATTATCTTCACAAACATGACTACAAATTAGTAACATACTTCCCTGATACCACAAATCTAATCCATAATGAGGGGCACTTACGAGAATTCCACCATTCCAAGCAGAAGTCCATATGGAATACTGTGAATCCATTTACGCACAGCAGTGCCCAATTTCTGGAGTCTTTTCTGAAAATGCATCCAAAAACACACCAGTGTCCATTAACCTTTAAACACCGGACTTCTAAAATGGTGGTAAGCTTGAGCTGGCTGGAGTTTATTTAAATGCCCACTGCTGGTGCGCATTTAAATGCCTGTTGTGTGCCCGTTTCGTTGTGCGCCACTCCACCACCGCTCACTTCTTTGGGTTCTTTACTTTAATCAGTAGAGCTGGGTTCCTATCCCAGGGTCTTATAAGGGTCTGGCTCGGACAGGGCAGGAAGAACACTTCACTACAATCACCCACCTTTCGACGGTTGCACTTAGTAGTCCTTTAATCCCTTCCAGCTTTCTGCATACAACTGAATTTATTAATACTATTGATTTGAACTGTACTTATACTATTTTACGGAAGGGCCGTAGTGGTAAATTTAGT